ACAGGAGCTCCTTTAATCTGGGCACCATTTCATTCACAACACCTGTCCTATCAGAATCAGAAATACTTTAATAATCCCAGGGCGAAATTACTTTCATTACATTACTCCATCTGTAATAGAGTGACTATAGGACTGGTTTGATATAACACAATTTCATACAATATTTATAATTAGGGGGTCCCCGCTCCATTTCACCATCAGTTTGGGGGTCCTTGGCCTGGAAAACTTTGAAAACCCCTGCCTTAATGCATCTGTGTTTCATTAAGCCAATTTAAAGAAAAAGTTACTTTAAGCAACAGCTAATGTAAGTAATGGACAGATGTGTAAGGTCTGAAACCTAAGTTAGGCAGATGTAACTACTATCATAATGCTTTTAAAAGATTCTAAAATATGTAAAAACTTTAAAAACAATTTTCTCCACTGCATTCCCACTTAGCCTCTAAAGCCTGACTAACAATGTGAACACTCATTTTAAAGGGCTCACAGGGACCCTATTGTCCTTTTTACTAACAGCTGTGGGTTTTCAGAGTCCATATAAACTAACCTACACCTCTCCATGATTCAGTTTGTTCTTTCTGCCTGTTAATGAATTGGCTTGTCAAATACACAGAGCAGAGAAACAGCTTCAGTCACTGTCTGTTAGTCTGCTAAAAGTGGAAAACACTAAAGCACTGGAGGGACAGTTGGACGGAAAAGTTTTACTACAATTGTTGCTTATTTTACTGCAACTTATTTGTTGAACTTACAAAACTAAAGTATAATATAAAGTCTACATTATGAAATGTTTCTTCTTAACTGTTTAGGCAAACAGTACTTGATATCAAGCTGCAGAAACCAACATCATAGCAAAAGAAGGATTTAAGCATTTCAGCACAAAATGATCTGTTATTCTGAGCAGTCCTTTGAAACACCATTATCTCCAGAACACCGAGAGGAACAAAACTCTATTTCCTTTTGTTAACATTTATATTGACTCAAGATCTAGAACTGATGTCTAATGAACATCTTTTAGTTTGTGTAACCAGTGGCGAGGGTTACTGTAGTTCTAAACCATCTGAGTAAATAATTATCCTTTGTGTCAATGGTTAATCTCATCCGTTCTGAGTTACTGTAGAGTACAAAAAAATAATAGTTGTTAAGGTAACATTACACACAGTACCTAGAGCTTTCTGGTAATGTTTCTCGATAAGAGTTCTCTGGTAAATAATAACACTAACAACAATATACTTAATATCTGAAAGGGGGCATTTAATCTAAAAATTACAGCTTGAAAAAAATCTTGGTTTTTGCAGAATCCAATTAATCCTTAAATCTCTTTCAAATCAAATAAACTAAAACTCTCTGTGACAGTTTATTCTTTTTCTATAAAAGAAGTGACATTGCAAAAACTTTTGGCCATTCAAATTTACATTACATAGATTCAGAAAAATGAATTATTTTCCGTCGTTAACTTATTGATAACTCACTACTCACACCTCCATCTTAATTTTGTATCACTTATCTCCGACTTGGCTACCAAGCTTTAAAATACAAGTTTAGTTTTGATACTGTCAATAAATTGGTTTCATGTTATAAGCAGTTCAGCATGCATCTGATGTGAGAATATTAATGTAAGTCTCGAAACTAGCATGTGTCAATGTTCCACTTGTTTGTCACAGTAGAGTGATGTCTATTATGTACTTTTAGTGAGGACAAATCAATCAAGATGATATAGGGGGGCTGTTCAGTCTAGTGAAATAAGATGCTAATGGCTAAAAAAGCTATGCTTGTAGTTTTAAATCTAGTCTATCCATCAGTAAATGACAACATACATGTTTTGTCCACTCCTTTCTCACTGTGCTTATGGAAACATGGGTCAACAGGTTCGTACACCTGCTGCCCAAGGGGGGAAAGGAAGCTCCCCTGTAACAGGTGTGCTGCCTTATATGACCATCAAAACGGGATATTCACACAAGTAGAAATGAAAGACGGACAGTGGGTGGGCACTGAAGAGAGAAAAACAGTAATTATGACGGATTTATGGATGACACACATTCTTGCAGCTGTCTTACTGTTACACCTGTGAAACTGGTTGAGGTACCAACACAAATGCAGCATTGATCAGAAATAAACTCCGTTTTTAAAAGTCTACTGATTTGTTTCTAAATTATTCTCATTTTATTTCCATGCAGTCTGGATACACGGGGAGGATAAAAGAGGTGAAACAGGAGGGACGTCATCCTTGGTAGCAAACACACTTCTAAATACAGGTTTACATTCACAATCAGGAGACCGTGAATATAACATGAAGGCCATAGCCAGTGGGCCATGACCAAGTCTGAGGGAGGTCTTCAGGCTTTTAATGCACATTGGTTCTAGATCATTACTCCTTTCTCCAAAACAAAGAGGTCTGAAAATGACTAACGCATGCAAACAGCCGTTGTGATGAGCGCATAGAGACAGTAAGGTAAATACTTGGGAAAGTGAGGGAAATCCTGAGGTGGCTGACCTGAATGGGGAATGAATCACTGCAGAATGCATTGTTCTATTGTATAGAATTTGTTTTTATCTAAGACCAACCACATATAAGGTTGAGCATTCAATTCAAAACAAGTTCAGGCGAAAACATAAACAAATTAAAACTAACATCTGTTTCAAAACATCATTATATCCACAAAGAATTTAAACAATCTTTCTTTTGATGATGCAATATTTGCGTTTGTGGCACTTTTGGTCTCAGGTACAGTATATTATTTAGCCAAAGGTACTCACTAACCTGCCTTTACTTGAATACGTATTTAATTCTATTTTAATTCAATTCAGTTTATTTATATAGCGCCAATTCACAACACATGTCATCTCAAGGCACTTTACAGTTCACCAGATCATACAGTCAAATTGATTCAAAGTCCTCTATTTAAAGAAAACCATTTGATTGCATCGACTCATTGACTCAAATGCAATCCTTCACACTAAGCATGCTTATAGTGACCGTGGAGAGGAAAAACTCCCTTTTAACTGGAAGAAACCTCCAGGAGAACCAGGCTTAGTGTGAGCGGCCATCTGCCGAGGCCGACTGGGGTTCAAAGAGACAGAAGCAGAGACACAAAAAGCAGCTGTAAAAGGCGGCCCGTCCAGGAAACACACAGCCAGGAAGACATAATTGACATCCCTTCATTAATTAATTATGTTCTGTAGGATGATGGTCAAACCTTTGCATTTTTACTAGCTTAACATTTCCTGGGAAGGCAGTGTACAACGTTAGAAACGTGTTTTGGAAACTGCCATTCTTTGAGAACCACATTCTCTGGCTCTGAGTCGCATCTCTACTTCATCCCAAAGGTGTTCTGTTGGGTTTGGGTCAGGACTTTGTGCAGGCCAGTCAAGCTCATCTACTCCATGCTTGGTGATGTTACTCGCTTAATTTCCATTAACCATCAAATTGCGCCTATTGTTATTATGAAAATAAATTTGCTATAGAGAAACACTGCAATACTGAAAAAAACTCACGTTTTTCAATCAAAATTTTTAATGCCTTAATGAGGTGGCTTTTTTAATTTAAATTTTTTATATTTCACAAAACTGCAACACTTTTTTGCATAAAATGAGTCATGTGATCTGCAACTGGACCGTACTGCCTTGGACTGAGAAGAAGATTGGAAGAGTGGTTGGAGCATAATGGCTCCGCATATTTGGATTATTTGGAGGAGAATATTTTTTACATTTAATTCACGATGATGAGCACTAGAGCCATGGTGGAGATAGGGATGTATCTAATCTGTTTTCATCCATCACTGCCATGTTGTTTTCAAGAGTTATCGCATGAACGAACATATATGATAGGTGGCTCTGAGCTGCCTGGCTGTGGGTTTCCTGGACAGAGCCATCTATAGAGCTGCTTGATTTTGTATCTCTGCTTCTTTCTGTATGTCAGCTTCTGTCTCTTTGAACCCCAGTTGGCCTTTGCAGATGGCCGCTTACACCTAGCCTGGTTCTGCTGGAGATTTCTTCCTGTTAAAGTAGGGTTTTCATCTCCACTTTCGCTACAAGCATGCATGGTGTGAGGAATTTCTGAAGAGTAAATGAGTCGATGCAATCAAATGATTTTGCTTAGATACAAAAATTTAAACCAATCTGACTCCAGTATCTGGTTGAATTGTCACTGTAATGTGTCATAAAAAAAATCATTGATTATATAAATTATATAAAGCCTTATGCCTGCTGTTTAGAAGGAAGAATAATGTATTCTAACTGGCTGTATAAGCCCTAAGGTGTATACTGCATTTCATATCAAGACACAAGGGTTGACTGACACAACCCAAATTCCTGTTTTAATACCGGGCACATTAGATATATTGATTAGAGGACTTGCTTCAATCCAAATAGGAATGAATCCGTCTTCTTAGGTGGTTGAACTTGATTTGATCCAGGACATTTGTACACTTCATCACTGGGTTTATTTATTAAAAATGTGTACCTAATCTAGTCTAATATTATCGAACCAATAACCACCTTCCAATGCTGTATCTCAGTAGTATTTTCAGTTTTAATACAGAGCAGGTATCATCTAACTTAAAGATAACTTCATAAAGTGTTAATATCGCAATCTAGCTTAAAGAGTACAGCCTTCCTGTAAAACAGCTGAATGTTTTGGTTATGCCTCATTGAATAGATAGTTCACTTTTTAGCTTCAGTTTTGCTCTGATAACTTTTTTTGCAGAAAGAAACAAAGAAACAAAAAAACATTACATTTCTACAGCAGCAACTTCTTGGCAGGGATTTCCATGAAACAGAAAAGAAGCACCGTTACCCAGTAAACAAAAACACATGACAGACAATGGTAAACATTGCATGTTCTGCACAAGTTGAGTCATGAAAATATTTCACAACACCTCCTCATCCGATGACACAGAAAAGATATCAGTAAAAACAGTTCTGCTGTTGTACCATATATGCTGTGTCCTCTGAACACATAAATTAATCTAATCAGTCCAAACACACAGATACTGTGTCATGCCTACCTTATCTTCTAATCTGATCATTCGTGCCCCAATAGTTGGATATTCCTTATCTTCTCCCTTGCCTTGTTATTGAGAACAAAGGAAAAGAAAAAACATTTAGAAAACACTTTTTAGTTTAACTGACATTACATGATGACAACTCACCGACATACACTATATTGCCAAAAGTATTTGCTCACCCATCCAAATTATTGGAATCAGGTGTTCCAATCACTTCCATGGCCACAGGTGTATAAATTCAAGCACCTAGGCATGCAGACTGTTTTTACAAACATTTGTGAAAGAATGGGTCGCTCTCAGGAGCTCAGTGAATTCCAGCGTGGAACTGTGATAGGATGCCACCTGTGCAACAAATCCAGTCGTGAAATTTCCTCGCTCCTAAATATTCCACAGTCAACTGTCAGCTGTATTATAAGAAAATGGAAGTGTTTGGGAACGACAGCAACTCAGCCACGAAGTGGTAGGCCACGTAAACTGACGGAGCGGGGTCAGCGGATGCTGACGCGCATAGTGCGAAGAGGTCGCCAACTTTCTGCAGAGTCAATCACTACAGACCTCCAAACTTCATGTGGCCTTCAGATTAGCTCAAGAACAGTGCGCAGAGGGCTTCATGGAATGGGTTTCCATGGTCGAGCAGCTGCATCCAAGCCATACATCACCAAGTGCAATGCAAAGCGTCGGATGCGGTGGTGTAAAGCACGCCGCCACTGGACTCTAGAGCAGTGGAGACGCGTTCTCTGGAGTGACGAATCGCGCTTCTCCATCTGGCAATCTGATGGACGGGTCTGGGTTTGGCGGTTGCCAGGAGAACGGTACTTGTCTGACTGCATTGTGCCAAGTGTAAAGTTTGGTGGAGGGGGGATTATGGTGTGGGGTTGTTTTTCAGGAGCTGGGCTTGGCCCCTTAGTTCCAGTGAAAGGAACTCTGAATGCTTCAGCATACCAAGACATTTTGGACAATTCCATGCTCCCAACTTTGTGGGAACAGTTTGGAGCTGGCCCCTTCCTCTTCCAACATGACTGTGCACCAGTGCACAAAGCAAGGTCCATAAAGACATGGATGACAGAGTCTGGTGTGGATGAACTTGACTGGCCTGCACAGAGTCCTGACCTCAACCCGATAGAACACCTTTGGGATGAATTAGAGCGGAGACTGAGAGCCAGGCCTTCTCGTCCAACATCAGTGTGCGACCTCACAAATGCGCTTCTGGAAGAATGGTCAAAAATTCCCATAAACACACTCCTAAACCTTGTGGACAGCCTTCCCAGAAGAGTTGAAGCTGTTCTAGCTGCAAAGGGTGGACCGACGTCATATTGAACCCTATGGATTAGGAACGGGATGTCACTTAAGCTCATATGTGAGTCAAGGCAGGTGAGCAAATACTTTTGGCAATATAGTGTATCTTGGCAATTATCATAGAGAAAAAATTCAGAGCAAAAGAATGTATTTGTCATTGAACATATAATTTATTTTTATGGACTTTAGAAGAACCTAAACTATAATCAGCATCACTCATTTGCAACATTGAATGACATGTAAAGGCATGCAAAATGAGGATATGTACAATACAGTAGTACATAACTTAAAAAAAAACATTGGAGCTTTGTAGACTAAATCTAGAGAAAAATCTATGAAATTACATAGGATGTAATTAACAGGTTGATAATGTTATTGATTTGAAAATTAGGAAATGTTAAAATCTCTAAAATAACATTCAATCAAATTGCTATAGTATGCTAGCTTTTTATGTTATTTCATCATTACTCTGACTGGAAAGACATGTTTAACTCTCATTACATTTGCGACTACTCCTCCCCCTAAATATGAAAGCAAATTGCCTTCTATCCCAGTCAGCACCCGAGTGCAAGCACAGCGATGCGTACCGCTTAGAAGTTGCACTTTCATTTTTCACTGTCATTTTGATTACAAATTTTAAAGAAATTCTGTTTTAATCTATTTTGACCTATCACCTTTTCTTTCTTTCTTTTTTTTTTTTTTTACAGATGCATAGTGAAAGCTCTAGAGATTTTGCTGAAAATTTGCCCTCCTCAAGTTGAAATGACATTGGTGCAAAGGCCTGAGAGGAGAGAAAAAGTCTCAAAGTCTGCAACTACAACTGCACAGGTGTTTAGAGGCATGATGTCCTCTGAGGTAGATAGTTAGATAGATAGTAAAATATTTGAATAACCTAATTTTTTAGGTTTTAACGGCACTAGTCGCACTTTTTTTGTTTTTACAGTCGGCTGACAGGAAAGGACCATAGGTCAGATTCGATCCTGGGTCAGCCCCATCGAAGACTAAGGCCTCCGTCCTTGGGTCATGCGCGCTAACCAATGCGGCACCGAAGCACACCCCAAAATTTGATTTATTCCGAACGGAGCATCTTACCTTATTAACAAAAAGAGGGCAATTTTTTTAAAATTAGAAAAATTATAAATATTAAATAAAAAAATTATAAATATTAAAAATATTTCCCTACTCATGCATTGAGTCTGTGATGGGCTTTAAAGTGCATTTCTGGCTGGTCTTTGCGGATTTTTTAAAAATACTGCACATTTATTGTCATTACTTTTAATTAATATCTAATTCCACAAAGATGATGGGATAATCCAAATCAAACACATGATTTTTTTTTTTCTCTTCAGTGAAAATAAAGGTGTGACAACTTCCTTCTGCACTGCATGGACCTGAATGCACATCCGCTTGTCCGTAATTGAATGTCCCAAGTTGGATTTAGAGGCTTTTGTCTTGCACAGATGGGTTCTCCTCACTGTTTTCATGTTCTAGAGTCTAAATCCATGCTCTGCCCCATTCCAGTCAAAGCTTTGATATCAGGGGAAACCTTCACCAAATGAGGTGATCACAAGTCAACAAGATGAAGGGTTTCCTAATCAAGAAAGGACCCTCTTTAAGTGGAAATTCTGGCTGAAAATGCTCATTAATATGCTATATGCCACCAAGTAGTCAGAGTGTGAATTGCTCTCTGTCAAAAAAAAAAAACAGGTGACTTTCAGTTTTTATCAAATATATTTTTAAAAGCAGAAACAACAAATAAAACAGGTAAAATATAGAAAATATTTGGTCCTTGTATCTGAGCAGCACTGCTTATTATACCCGCTGCATGTGGCATGTCTAGCAGCTGTATTAAAGCCATTTGTTTTGGTATGTAGTTTCCTGTAGCTTTTAAAGTAATGTTTTATCATTTCTAAAATATCCTCCCAGGCCCTCTGTGAATGACAACATTCTGTACCTTAATAGGAAAAAAAAACACTTTAGATTGTCAAATATGTAATTAGGGTGTTTCCTAAAACCCAAAACCAAAAAAACTATTTTCCAATGCTTACTATGTTTTTAAAGTAGGTTGGTTTACAGCTTCCATTTTTTTAAAACTTTACTTGATTTCTTGAGAAACTACCAGCCAGGAAGCAGCTATAGGATAGCCTAAAATATTGTGCTTTGGAGAATTTTTTTAGAACTTTTAGAGTGTAAAAGTTTTTAGAGTGTAAGTGTGAGCTTTGGTCTAAGGAATAACTACTAGCCTCAGCTTCCAAGTAACTAGGATTTATACTAAATAAAGACACAAAGAAAGTTAGCTACCTCAAATACAATACTAAATTCCCTTTATAATTGCTAAACTCTATTTTTAAACCCTCTTTATCATTTCAGCTTGACACATTTTATCATTTTTACCCATTTCATGCCAGAAGGAACAGTTATTAATTGGCTTTGATTGTATTCAGTTCAGGTTTTCATCCTGCCAGTAATTTAGATGATACTGACACTTCAGTAGGAGTCGATGGAACCGACGGAACCAGTTACACAGCAAGAAAGTTATTTAACAACTGAGTGCAAGTCATCTGACAGCAATTTACAAAACGGTGCCAAAAAGTGGTAGCAAACAGTCCAACAAGCTTCACTGATGAGCAAAAAAGCCCACATCCACACAGGGATGTGTGCACAAACATCAGGGACCTCCATTTTTCTTGTATTTAGTCTGGTAGTGCATGTGCATGTGTGGGTCATAAACATAGAGGTAAAGTGGAGGGTGATGATTGTCTGTCAAATTTAGTTTGTTTCCTTGATGTTTACCTGGTAAAAACATTCCTGGTTTCCCCAAGGTGCCATCCAGTCTGAGAGAGAGCAGATAAAAATGGAGGGGGTTGGGGGGATGAGACACGTTTAAAGCAGTTAACATAGAGATTAATCTGGTTGCACAGCATGTTATAAAGGAAGAAAAACAACAACATGCATATTAATCTATCGATAAAAATAAATGAAGTCAGGTAGAAATATTCAACTAAATCTCTACATGGAAGAGCTGAATAATTTTTTGCACTCTTATTGCTTATGTTGCTCCAATAGAGTTACTTTATTTTTTTTAAATCTAATATTAGAGGTGCCTTTTTTTTCTGTAGGTTTTATATAATTTATCTTAAGTCTGGCGTTGAATTTTTCAATCACTGAAATAATGATTAAATATTTCAAAACTGCTCATACAAAGTGCCAAAAAATACATTTACCTTTACTTTATATTTTAAGCTGAAACCTTTTGAAATCCATTACAAAAGTTTAGTGAGGTTTTCGTTTTACACAGATGATCAGTTTATGAGAGTATTCAAGCTGAACTAAGAAGACTCAAAACATATTCAGCGAGTTTAGATAGTTTTCCTGTCCCCTCTTATATCTTATCTTGTTTCAATGTTATTACTTTATATTTTTTATGTATCATATATTTTAGTCTTCTAATTTTTGTAGAAAATGCACCTGCTTCCAAATCTACAGGCATTCCTAAACATCTGTCAGATGCCTCACAGTTATTTCATCTTTAACTTAATTTCCGCCATATTACAAATGTAGAAAAAATCAAACATTATTTGTTCAGCCATGATAAGAGTTTCACAAATGATATTGACATAATAAGTGGCCCAAAAAACCCCTCCCATATTTTTTGGTGTAAACATTAAGTTCATGATGTCTAGGAATATTTAATAGCCACACAACACAAACTGTTCCCCTAATAATACTTGATAAGTTCTTTTTTTTATTTTTTTTTATTAATTTTTCAAATTAGGAAAGACAAGAATTTATCACATTAACATGCAGATGTGTGTTAATTAAGGTAAAAAAAAATAGTTTAAATGCAGTAATGTACTATAGGAAAGATTTAATAACTACACTGCCTGACCAAAACAAAAGTCACCATCACGAATTAATTAATGCATTAACCCCCAAAATAAGAACAGATTAAAGGGTTTCATAAAAAAAAGCATTAAAATGGATGGACTGGTAATGCAGAGCTGTTGGCCAGCCTCATTCATTAGTCACACAGGTTAATTATCTCATTATCTCAAGAAATCAATAACTGTTTCCTTGTGACAATGAGATAATTATCTTGTTATCTCGAGAAAAAAATGAATAGTTTAACCATCATAACGAGATAGTTATGTCATTATCTCGAGAAGGCGAAGAAAAAGTCGATTACGACCGCTCTCGGTTTCCGTATTTTCAAAACAATGACACAGCGAATGGAATAACAGCTAAAGACGATCCAACAAAATATTAGTGTGTGGCCTCCTTTTTTTAGGTGGCAGCTTTTTATTTTTCCCAGGTGGTATATACATAACCTAGATAAAAGTATTAAATAGCTGAATTATGAGGACACAAAGTCACAGTAAAATAGCTAATAGTAAAATAGCTTTTTTAAACATTTTTGCCATGAGTACAAAAATTGTGAAATTGGTGACGTAAATCCTGTCTTTTTTCTTTAAATTAAGAACTTTAAGTTTTTTTTTTTTTTTACATTTGTATATTAATTATTACCATATTTTCAGACTATACAGCGCACCTCACTATAAGCCGTGCCTGCAAGATTTTTTGGAATACCTGGAAACACATATATAAGCCGCACTGGGCTATAAGCCGATGATATCTACTGAACAGTCTCCCACCAAACCTGTAGGGGGAGCTCTACATATAGCCCCTGGAGTAGGGACAAAGTAGAATGCTAGCTCCCATTAGCTTGTTGCCTCGCAGCAGTAAGAACCTCTACTGGGAGATGGGGCTTCATCATCTCTTTATTTCAGCTCTGCAGGAGTTGAGCCCAGTCTCTTCATTGGTTCTGCAGCTTTAATGCGGCAGATAAATGTCAAAATTTGTGAATTCAGGACACTTGTTGTCCGTCGCGCCTGCTGCCAGAATGTTCTTGTGCTAAATAGCAATTAGCCCCTTATTCTTTAATTTCTGGCTGCTTAGTGGAACAGTGGGTAGCATTTCTGCCTTACATTAAGAAGGGTCCTGGTTCAATTCCCGGTCTGGGGTATTCCTGCATGGGGTTTGCATGTTCTCCCTGTGCATGTGTGGGTTCTCTCTGGGTACTCCGGCTTCCTCCCACAGTCCAAAAACATGACTGTTAGGTTAATTGGCTTCTCTAAATTCCCCTTAGGTGTGAGTGTGTGCGTGAATAGTTGTTTGTCCTGTTTGTCTCTGTGTTGCCCTGTGATAGACTGGCGAGCTGTCCAGGGTGGACCCCGCCTCTCGCCCCTAGTCAGCTGGAAATGGGCACCAGCACCCCTCGCAACCCCAGCAGGGATAAGTATGATGGAAAAATAGATGGATAGATGGATTCTTTCATTTTCAACTTTGACTTCGCCCTCTGGTGATTAGGAAAAATCAGCACAAAAGCTACACGTTCTTATAAGCCGCATTGGTTCAAAGCATGGGAAAAAGTAGTCATAGTGGTATATGTTTTAATTGTTTACTTGGATTAAAGGTTGACCAAGTCAAAATAGCCGGGCAAACACCTAAAACGTATACTATGATTTTAAGATAGTAAGATAAGAAACAGGGGGAAACAAAGTCAAGGCTTTCACCTTCGCTGTAGCTCCTTGATGCGAACCATCATGTTTAGGTGACCCTGGGAATACTGCTCGATCACGTCTCGCACATCATAGGGTTTCCGGGCTTGCTGCGGATCCACACACATGAACACACAAACACACACACAAGAAAAACACACACACACGGTGGGACACAAAGCCATTGTCAATCACAATCTCTTGTTGCTTGGTCCCCCGAAAACATCCCCCAACCCCCTTGGGTGCAAAGAGTTCATTGTGAGCTCAATGTGTGTTTTGTGTGAGTATGCATGTGTGTGCATATAGTATGTGTGTGTAGGCTCTGAAAGGCACATGGTCATGTAGAGAGGAATCGTGTTCAGGTCCTTTCACAGCTTTGTGTGGTGTGACGTTGACACTGGGGCTATCGGAATGAACTCGGTGAACCCTGTAGGGTATCCCTGTCTGCACAGCTGAGATCACTTAGCCCATAATTGAAAAGATACAGAACACCTGAAAAAAGCATTAATATGGACATTATGACAGTGTATTTTACTATGAACCCAAAGCTAAAGTATCTTAGATGTAAATACATGTAGCAGCTTATATTTCTGCACAATTTTTTTTTTTACAGATTTGAAAAATGAAATATATGCAGGTTTCACTTGAGCGGGGTAAGCACTGCTGTAAGTGTGTTCATGAATCTGGTTTTTAAAGGTCCATTACTACTGTAAACACAGACAAACTAATATTTCATAAATAACACATTTCCAATATCACAGAAAGATTTTGCAAGAGTCTAAGTTACTGTAGCTAGTTCCCGTGAAATTTCTGCAGAAGCCGAAGTTACGTTTATGAGATCCCGTAACAGTTGTGTAAGAGTCAAAGTTACACTAACAAGATCCTACAGGTTTGTTAGACCCATGAAAGTTTTAGAAGGGCCTGGTTACTTTTTTAAATTATTTGTGTATTTTTCCTCAAAACTCTGTAAAGGTTTTTAAGACAAAGATTCTTTTGTTTTCCTACTCTTGCAGAATCTTCTGACTTTTAAGTAAGGTCTAGAAAACGTTTTGTGATCTCAGATGAAAGCCCTTTTTTGTAAAAGTGCTGACCATGTGGAAAATCTCCTCAGAAAAAAAAAAAGTGATGCTTACTTCCACAACAGGAAACACGATATTTTCACAAGGAAAAGTAAGTGAGCTTCCTGTAGTCTTTTATTATTATCTGAATGGATTCCAACTCCACTGATCCTAATAAGCACTAAAACTGATTACGACAAGACTTTAAATTGATGGGAATTTCTGTGTATTCAGGAGAGTTAGCCACTGGTTTACACTTGCTAATCACATATATCACAGCAGACATGAGGTTTTTAAATAGAATCAAAATAGAATCATGTTTAATTTATTTGGATATTACAAGAGTTTTAGGACTTTCAAATAAATGGTGAGTCATTTTAATTAGGGCTAGATTTTTTTTCTTTTTACTTGATCCTCTGCTCTTGCAATCTAAACCAGATCTAACAAAATCTAACTTTGATTCCTGAAATGCTCACTTCGGGGCTCAGTGACGGGGCACAAACACACTTTTGCAGCGTTGTTGCAGGTGATAAATGTTTTCCTTACCCTTCTCCTCCTTTACAACCACATACATAACACATCTGCCCTTTTCATCTGACTTCCCTCTGAACCCTGATTTTTTTTTTCCTTTTCTCAGGATTTTTCTTTATATTACCTGAAATTTCCTCCTGGCAACGAAATACTGCATTCTACGCAGGACTTTCACAGCAGACCTCTGGGAATGGGATAACCTGGGATAAATAAAAAAGAAGAGACAGAATAGAGTTACAAACAAGAGATTGTTGCTCAGTATATGTTTAGTTCTCAGTTAAGACATAAATGTACACTTGAGTTCAATTAAAATATTTTGAGGATCATCAGGTATTGTATAAGCTGTGCAACAGGGAAAGACTTGAGTCTAATGCAATGTAAATTAACACGAGAACAAAAATAGTATGTAAACACACATCGCACCTCCAACCACTGCATCCCACTCATTGAGCTTGACCTTTTGGTCACAGCTTTAAATCTGCAACCTTATGCGGAGTGAAAGAGAGGGAAAACAGATTCCATCTGCATTGCTAAGAGTCCAAAAAACATACGTCCCTCGGCTCAGAGCTGAACATCTGTGTCAACACAAAAAACAGCCCAATCCTGGGGATCCGTGGAACACTGAAATTAAAACCTGTGGAAGTAAACAACACACATGCAGTTCTGCTTGCATGTCATGATCGCTTTCTTGCATGCAATTTGGTTTGCTTTTTTAACAGATTGCTGTTTGGGCTTGTTTTGAAACATCTCAGTGAAACATCTGTCATAAGGACCATGCAGAACAGAAGGAAAAAAAGCTATAAAAAGGTTTGGAAGGAACCTGTAGCTGGCGATTGGTCAAATGGGTTTTTGAATTGTAAAATACATTGGTTATTACAAAAGATGCAGTTGGGAATTGGCAGGAGATCCTGTAATCAGATTATTTTACCTTAATATGCTCTTATGGATGACTAGCCTCTCAGAAACCATGAATATTCAATCTTCAAATCAAATAACTGATGACCAGTTAATGTGCATTTAGTCATGAAAACAATGTTCTTCCATGTTGACATAGTTATTGAGGAAAGGAACGTTCAAAGCTAGCTGGTATTATACAAAACATCAAGAAATCCTGCTATTAGGGAGTTCTTAGATAGGTTTTAAAAAAAAATTATATTTATTTTAATGTTTAGACTATACCCTTTCTCTTTTTTGAGAGTTGATAGGCAGGAAATGGGTTGAAGGAGTGGAGAACGACAAGCAGACAAGGTTTAAAGGTCTCGGCTCGAGATTTGACCCCAGGACAGCTGCCTCAGGGTTTAAAGCATTTTTAGTAGGGATGCACGATATTAGGATTTTGGCCGATATCCAATACAGCGATATTTTAAAACTCATGTAGCCGATAACCGATATCGATACCGATATTAAAGCTGGACAAAAATAAGTAGTCATTGAAAATAGCGGTTTTGTTATCCATTTCTGACACTTTGAAAAATAATATACTCAAATATATATTTTCATATGCTGATATCAAATAGATTTTTAAAAACGCGGTATCGATCTATCTATTTTACTTTCAAAATCTCGTGAAATTTCAGCGTCCTGTTACAAACTCTCGTGATATTTTGCAAATTCTTGTGAGATTTTGTTAGTAAAATAGATCGATACCGCGTCAATATATCAACATATAAAAATATGGCAAAATTTGTAGCATAACGATGACATATAGCAATATTTCATTAGTAAAAGAGATTGATATTGTGTTTTTAAATGGCAATATATCTGCATATGAAGATATTGTGATATTTTAATGTATCAATATTTTTCCCTCGTCAAATATCTGGTTAAATATCGTTGGGGTGGCCGATGTCCGATATTCAGTTTTAAGGCTGATACAGGCAGATACCGATAGGGGGCCGATTATATCGTGCATCCCTAATTTTTAGTGTTATTATGGAAAACTATTGGATATGGTATATTATATATATTCTTGCTAACAAGAAGTGGGAGCTTTTTGAAGCACTAAAATATCCCAGTCTTCACAAAGCAGTCCCCCCAGTTGCAGTCAGAGCAGGACATTTTCAGTACTCCACGTACAGACTGGATGGGCTGTGGTTGTTGAATACTACTAAGTGAGCCAAATTAAAAATCAAACCAGATTTCAGAAAGGTTATCTAAAAAAAGTAACTGAACAAAACTTAAGCAACAAACTAAAGTAGTATTTAGTACTCCTGTTATATGCTCAAAGCACAGAAAGAAGGAGAGTTTGTTAGAACTGTGTTATTCACACATTCAGACTTAATAATATTACTTTAGCAATAGTTTCAAGGCGTTGCTTTATTGTATATCTCGTACCATGTCGTTTGGTTGTGCTGTTCTTTTTTCATCTCGTTACAGGTGATGAAGCAGACTGAAAATGTTTTGTCATTGTCTCCTTTCTATCTCCTCTTTCTTTCATCTTCTCTCTTTTTTTCTCTCTCTTTTTTCCTTTTTCTTCTTCTGTTTTTCTGCTCTACTTACATTGCAGTGTCCATATAAACTGTAAAACTCCCTGCATAATTATAATAAAGCAATTTATATGCATGAAACAAGTGGAGCAGTATGGCAATTGCCATACTGCTCCACTTGTGAAAGTAAAATCTGTTGGGCTCTATTTGGCATCAAGACAATTATTCTTATTGCCACATTGCCAGACAGGACACTGTATAAAAAAAAAAAAAGAACTATGTTATTCAGAGTGTTCTTTGTGTCCACTTTTTGCCTTTTCTGCAATACTTTAAAATTTGGCAGGGAAGGAGCCATTCTAATGTACAGTGGGAGGCTATTTCATATACGAGGAGCAGCGATAGAGAAGGCTCTGGAAGCTTTCTAAAAGTTAGTGACAAATTTGTTTTCAGAGATTTTGAATATTATATAAACCAACTAAATCAGTGAATAAGAATGTTTAAAGCTTATTTTGGTTTTCCTTCTCTTGCAGGTGGAGTACCGTTCCACTCCATTCAAAGGCATCTCCAGCTATAAATGAATAACCTCATTCTTGTGTTAAAGCCTTTGCTTTGTGTAAATGGGTCGTGTGTGTTTCTGTGCTGTTGTGAACATCTCTCACGCAATGTGCCAGTCATAACAGACATACATTTAAACACATACACACTCGGTTGACGCATGGAAACACATGGCTTCCACCCTTCTCTCCAAATAAGGGTTTCTGTGGAGTCAACAAGTCGCTCTGAGGTCTTAATTAGGGCAAAGGGACAACAAAAAGACTTCAGAGACAATGCGCTGACAGCAGACCATAAACATCAAAGAGCACCGGGCCACCCTTTTTTTTCCGGCCTCCACGCACGGCTTGTCCAGCCTATAGAGGAGTGAATGCACTCAGACAATAGCAAACATAAAGAGCATGAAGGCCTAATTTAGAAAAAGAAAACTAGTTATCCCCCTCCTTACTTTGTCAACAGTGAAAGAGATGTATGTTGTTTTTTTCCCCGCTGTATGTACGACTTAGGCAATTCTGCATTATTGGGGAGGAGAGCAAATGTAGGAAACAAAAACCATGTCCGCTTCTGATGAACAACTCTGTCCTTGCTCCCTCCCATTTCCTGCATACAAAAATTATGCACACACATATGTTCAGAGGATAACTGTGATAAAACAAGAACGCAGAAAGGGCTTCCTCCACTGCCTGGCCTCCAATACACATTTGAGGCAAATAAAAATTAAACAATGCAGCTCCTGGATCTTTACGATTGTGTTGCCCTGCGAACAACCGCTGACTCTGCTTCTTAGTCATCGCCTTCGGCCTCTGTGTTTATTTGTTAGCTTTGCAGACGATTTGATCCGCAGACACAGGCTGGGGACTCCTCTTGAGCCTGCAAAGCTCAGATTTCCCCCCACAATGATTTCAATATACTTTCTATTGTTCTGCACTGTATGATTCACTCTTTTGCCCAGGCTAGTCGTCTGTGCCTTTAATATAGAGGATTAAACCAACTTTCTCAGCGCCTGTCCACAGACACTATTTTTCATTTGCTCAAAGGTTAGTCATCTCCATGCTATTGCTACCAAAGCTCTAAATTAGCACTGACCCTTTCTCAAAAAAAGTGTGACAGATTTACCCCCATGGCTTCCCCTTGACCCCCCGTTTTAATAAGTTTTCTCCTTTTTCATTTTCAGATGGTCACTTTGGAGATCTCCAAGTTGTCAGTGGCAACTCTCCCTGTTCCCCCAACACCCCCAGGCCCTCCTTTTGGCAGGGGACTGTCAAATATCCTGTGCTTCCATGGTGCACAGCAATAACCTTAGAGACAGATGGGTAAAAACAAGCAGTCTCAGACATCAACGTATAATGCTCAGGGCCCAGCAAGACTGAGGACCCATGTGTGTCTGTTCATGCATGTCTGTGAGACAGATAAGGCTGATAACTGGTGCTTTGGTCTGTTCAATCGATGGGCCTTTTCTCTGTTTTTCTTTAAGTTAGACTCCTTTCTATCATATCTCTGAGGGATAAGAAATGTTTGCTTTAAGTGAAAAAATGACAATGGTGAGGTAAGAGTTGTAACAGCACAAAGCCGAAAAATAAGCCTCAACAGAATCTAAAAACAGGAACTCAAATAACCAAGGAAGATGCAAATACAACCTTAAACGATGTTTTGTGTCGTCTTTGGAACTTTTCCACCCAGCATTCAGGACAAAGTACTAGGCACTTATTAAACCATGCATTGCTATAAAACATTTGTATATTTATTTTATTTTATGTTTTACAATTTTGCATTTATTGGAATTTAGATAACTGACCAACAAGCAGTTCAAAACTATACAGTGGAGAAAAAGTATACAATTTTGTTTATATGTCTGAAATAGCTTCAACTTAGTCAGATCGTAAAAATTCAAAAAATATCCACTGGACTTGGTTTTCAAGATTTGAAGACGTTTCGCCACCTCTCCAGGAAGCTTTCTCAATTCAAATTCAATTCATCAGCCTAAATGTAACAACTTATTGAGGTTATTGGGAATAGTTTTGGCTGTAGTTTCTTACTAAAAACGAGTTTGGTAAAAGTATTTGTCAGCCTCTAACGGGATTTCTTTCAGGATTACAGTACTTCCGTCCAAATCCCTATCAACCCTGACCCATCGACCTGTCCCTCCTGAAAGAAAGTTTCCCCTCAGTGCTCAGTGTGATGCTGCCACTACCTTATTTGATTTTTTAGGACAGTCTTCAAGG